CGGGCAACGTCGCGACTGCGTCGCGCATGCGTCGCGCGTGCGTCGCGCGTGCGTCGCGCGTGCGTCGCGCGTGCGTCGCGCGTGCGTCGCGCGCGTGGCGCGTGCGTCGCGCGTGCGTCGCGCGTGCGTCGCGCGCGTGGCGCGTGCGTCGCGCGTGCGTCGCGCAGGTCGATCGTGCGTCGCGCGCTGGCAGGGGTGCGTCGCGCGCGGGTCGGGGTGCGTCGCGCGCGCGTCGCGCGCGCGTCGCGCGGGCGTCGCTCGGGTCGTTCGCGCGTCGCGCGCAGGTCGCGCGCGAATCGCTCGAAGGGCGCCGCGGGCTCCTGACGGCGCGTGAACTGCGCGGCCCGCTGGCGAAACAATCAAGGGATGCGCGCGGCAATCGTAGAAATGGCGAAACACGCACGTGAGAACTACGAACGCGAGGAGACCAATAGACGACATGGAAATGCAGCGCGCACGGACTAATCCATTTCTAGCGCACGCCACGTCATATTTTGAACATCGGCCCGTCGCTGCAGCAATTGGGCGACGTCTCGCCCGCCGATGCATTGGGGGGGGAAGAGGATGGAAGTGAGGCGAGGGAAGGGCGGGCGGAAATGGGAACGGACGGGCGAGGAGGTGGCGCGCGGGGGTGGCGCGGCGGCGGCGGGAGCGATGGAAGGCGATCGAAGGGGGGCGGCGGGGGCGAGGAGGGCGAGAAGAAGTTCCAGGAGGGTGGAAGGACAACGGGGGGTGAGTAGGGAGGCGGACAGGACGGCAGCCTGACACAAAAGAACTGAATCCAAATTTCGCAAACGGGGCAAAACGCGCAGCGCGATGGACGTGGGGATGAGGAAGGAAGAGGGGGGGGGGCCGGAGGATTGGCGCGAAACGACATGGGGGTGCGGGGCGCGACGCGACGGGGCGAAGTGGCGATGCGTCGCGCGACGCGACGTCACCCCCACCGTGGCGCGACACGCACAGCCCCCAATTAACGCGAGGCTTCTTCGTCCTCAGCAACGGTTGGCGCCCCCGAAAATGAGTACCAGCAAATTCTCTTGCGCCGAATTGGGAACAGAACGCGTTGGTGGACCGTCGAAATAGAATGCGCCGCGACCGCCAAAATGGCTGCTGGTGCACCGGCGTCGGAAACCTATATATCGCCAGAGAAATTCCGAAGTCGCGCCATATGTCGCCCACGCACCCTGGGAGGCCGGGATTCGGGACAGAGACGCAAACCAGGGCCGGCGCACGGGCGACGCTCGGGCGACGCACTGAACGAAACTTAAAGAGGGGGGGGTGGTCGCTTCACTGGGCCTTAACAGATGCTGGGCATGAAAACGGGCAAACCGCATGAGACATCCCCACAAACTGGCCGCGAACAGGCCCGTGTCATCACCCCTGGCGGCTGCTTTACGGTGTGTTGAAACCAGCGCCCCGCCTGAGCCATCCTCAAAACCTGCTCCGAAAGCCAACGGTGTTGGGCATGAAAACAAGCAAACCGCCTGAGACATCTCCACAAACTGGCCGCGAACGGGCCCGTGAAAACACCCCTGGCGGCTCCCCTTAGGGGTGCTGGAACCTGCGCCCCGCCTGAGACATCTTCACAAACTGCTCTGGCAGCCAAGGATGTTGGGCATGAAAACGAACAAACCGCCTGACACATCCCCACGAACTGGCCGCCAACGGACCCGTGGAAACACCCCTGGCGGCTCCTCTTCGGGTAGCTGAACCCAGCGCCCCGCCTGAGACATCCGCAAAACCTGATCTGACAGCCAAGGATGTTGGACATGAAAACGAACAAACCGCCCGAAACATCCCCACAAACTGGCCGCGAACGGGCCCGTGACCAAAACGCTCACGGCACTCCTTAGGGGTGCTGAAACCCCACCTGAGACATCCTCACAAACTGCTTTAAACGCAGACGAGTCCGCCCACCAAAACAGCCAAACAACCTGAGACATCCCCACAAACTGGCCGCGAACGGGCCCGTGAAAACACCCCTGGCGGCTCCCCTTAGGGGTGCTGAACCCAGCGCCCCGCCTGAGCCATCCTCAAAATCTGAACTGAAGTTCAAGGATGTTGGGCATAAAAACGAACAAACCGCCTGAGACATCCCCACAAACTTGCCCTGGCGGTTCCCCTTAGGGGTGCTGAAACCAGCGCCCCGCCTGAGACATCCTCACAACTGCTCTACACGCAAACGAATCTGCCCACCAAAACAGCCAAACCGCCTGAGGCATCCCCACAAACTGGCCGCGAACGGGCCCGTGAAAGCACCCCTGGCCGCGCCCCTTAGGGGTGCTGAAACCAGCGCCCCGCCTGAGACATCCTCACAAACTGCTCTAGACGCAAACGAGTCTGCCCACCAAAACAGCCAAACCGCCTGAGACATCCACAAACTTGCCGCGAACGGGCCCGTGAAAACACCTCTGGCGGCTCCCCTTAGGGGTGCTGAAACCAGCGCCCCGCCTGAGACATCCTCACAAACTGCTCTAAACGCAAACGAGTCTGCCCACCAAAACAGCCAAACCGCCTGAGACGTCCCCACAAACTGGCCGCGAACGGGCCCGTGAAAACACCCCTGGCGGCTCCCCTTAGGGGTGCTGAAACCAGCGCCCCGCCTGAACCATCCACAAAATTTGATTTGAAGGCCAAGGATGTTGGGCATGAAAACGAACAAACCGCCTGAGACATCCCCACAAACTGGCAGCAAATGGGCCCGTGAAAACACCCCTGGCGGCTCCCCTTAGGGGTGCTGAAACCAGCGCCCCGCCTGAGACATCCTCACAAACTGCTCTAAACGCAGACGAGTCTGCCCACCAAAACAACCAAACCGCCTGAGACATCCCCACAAACTGGCCGCGAACGGGCTCGTGGAAACATCCCTGGCGGCGCCCCTTAGGGGTGCTGAAACCGGCGCCCCTCCTGAGACATCCTCACACACTGCTCTAAACGCAAACGAGTCTTCCCACCAAAACAGCCAAACCGCCTGAGACATCCCCACAGACTGGCCGCGAACGGGCCCGTGAAAACACTCCTGGCGGCTCCCCTTAGGGGTGCTGAAACAAGCGCCCCGCCTGAAACATCCTCGCAAACTGCTCTAAACGCAAACGAGTCTGCCCACCAAAACAGCCAAACCGCCTGAGACGTCCCCACAGACTGGCCGCGAGCGGGCCCGTGAAAACACCCCTGGCGGCTCCCCTTTGGGGTGCTGAAACCATCGCCCCGCCTGAGACATACTCCGAATCTTCCGTGTGTTGAATAAGTCTGCGTATGGGTAAGTCTGACTATGAGAAGGTCTGAGTATGAGTAAGTCTGTGTATGAGTACATGTATGAGTACGTATGAGGATGAATAAGTCTGAGTATGAGTATGAGTAAGTCTGTGTATGAATAAGTATGTGTATGAGTATGTCTGAATATGAATAATATGGGTATGACTAAATCTACGTATGAGTAAGTCCGTGTATGTGTACGTCTGGGTATGAGTAAGTCTGTGTATGAGTAGGTCTGCGTATGAATATGTCTGAAGATGAGTAAGTCTGTGTATCGTAAGTCTGGGTATGAGTAAGTCTGAGTATGAGTAAGTCCGAGAGGAGGGGAGGAGAAGACGAGGGAGTAGGAGGCGTCCAAGTAATAACAAAAAAACCATCTTAGGATATGGGGAAGGAAAATCAACGAGTTTGGCCTCTTCGGGCCGTCCTGGGACGCCTGTCGGACCTCTCTAGGGAACTCTTGGAGGCCACCTGTGAGCCTCGAGAGCCGTCGGAAGGCTGACTTGAGCTGCATAGGAGCGTCTTGGGCCATCCTTTCGCATTCTGGGGGCTCCTGGGCGGCGTCTTGGGCCCTCCTGGAGCGCTGTGGAGGCTCCCCGGAAAGGCCGGGGGAGCGGTGCCAGGAGCGTTCCCGAGATGTTCCGCGGGGAGGTGTGGGACCTGGGGCCGGGGGGGGGGGCGGTATTGATTCCCACCAGCCCTTTGGGCGTGAGTGGTTTTCGAGAGCTCTCTCTGTCCTCAACCCCCCTTCTTCCCCTTCGGGGAAGGGTTTACCCCTCCCCCTACCCCCTCCCCCTGGGCCTGGACAGGGAGTCCCGAGTGTTCTCAGGGGGGTCTTTTTCGACTCCTGGGAGGGCCAAAAAACGACGACCCTCACGAGGATTCTGGCCCCGACGGGGGGGCCGAGTTTGGCCCCTCTGCTCTTCTTTGAAGCCAGATTCATTGATTTTACTACGGTTTTGGCCCCATTTTGGCCTCCTGATGGGGCTGCGCTTCTCTTCCTCCATAGCAAAATCGTTGATTTTACGAAGGTTTTGGCCTCATTTTGTCCTTCTTAAGGGGCAGCGCTCATTTGCGCTTCTGACGAGATCGCCAGAGGCCCCAAGATGGCCCCAAGAGGCCCCCAGGAGGCTCCCAAGAGGCCTCCAAGAGGCCCCCAAGAGGCCCCCAAGAGGCCCCAAGAGGCCCCCAAGAGGCCCCCAAGAGGCCCCCAAGAGGTCCCAAGAGGCCCCAAGAGGCCCCCAAGAGGCCCCCAAGAGGCCCCCAAGAAGGCCCCACGAGGCTCCAAGAGGCCCCCAAGAGGCCCCACGAGGAGCCCGAACGACTCACACCAGGACGAGGGGCCCGAACGACTCACACCACGAAGAGCCCGAACGACTCACACCACAAGGAGGGGCCCGAACGACTCACACCAGGACGAGCCGCCCGAACGACTCACACCATGAGGAGCCCGAACGACTCACACCACGACGCGGGCCTCGAACGACTCACACCACGCGGAGCCCGAACGAGTCACACCAGGAGGACGGGCAGCGCTCATACAAGCCCCCCACGATGGCCCCCAGAGGTCCACCAGATGGCCCCTAGAGTTCCCAAGATGGCCCACCAGAGGTCCCCAGGAGGCACCACGAGGCCTCATGTTTCGCAAGAGTTGCTGTTTTGAGATGGGCTGGTGGGGATACGCGAAGCGTGCAGAATTATATTATACACGTGTGTATGTACGTGTGTTTGTGTTTGTGTGTCCGTGTGTGTGTCTTCCGGCCCTTGCCTTTTCGATATATTCGCTTTCTTGCGAGAAAACAGTGAATCAGAGTCACGCGACGCGTCGAACCTAACATGCCATGCCCATGCAATTGTCCAAATCCCTGCGCTTTGGGACCTCCGCACGAAGAACCTAAAGCCACACACGGAATTGTTCAGCAGCGCATCTGCATTTGCCATCGTGCTGAGCACTGAATGCAATGTCCTCAGGTCCTTTCAAATTCTCCTTCTGAGGAACTCAATGCTGTCCACCTGCGAACCCGAATTCCAAGCGCTGCCACGATCCTGCTAGACCGCTAGAGTACTCTGGAAACAAGAAGGCCCCAAAACGGACCAGTAGGGCACGAAGAGGCCCAAAAACGAACCAGAATCGCCAAAATATCGCTCCAAAACGCACAACATAGCACCAAGACGGCCAACAACCCCCCCAAGACGCCCCAAGAGGGCTCCAAGACGCCCCCCAAAGAGGGCCCGACAGGCCAACATAGTTGATTTTCCTGCGGTTGTTTGAAGGATCTAGCGATCTCGCTTTTTCTGGCTTCCGACGTTCCAGGGCGGCCCAAAAGGCGCCCCCCCAAAAGGCCCCCAAACCAGCCCCCAGATGGCCCTAGGGGGCCCCGAGACGGCCTCAGCAAGGAGAGCCCGAACTGGATATTTCGAGCCCTCCGCCGCAGGATGACCCCAGAGACCGCCTGCAGGTCTCCAACGGACCTCTCCGAAGCCCCATGGAGGCTCCGAACAAATCCAAATCAGGCCCTAAAAAGCTCTGAAGCCCTAAAAGGCCCCCACGAGCCCCCCCCCCAAAAGACTCCTAAGAGGCCTCCCTCTCAAGAGATCCCCACATGCATCCAAGAGATCTCTGACCTACAACCCAAGCAAGGTGGTGGGATGGGCCGAAAGGCGTTACATCCGTCGCCCTCCTGTGTTTACCATTGGTGTTGCTTGCGTGGTTGGAACATGTTTAATCAGATTCCGAATGGCCTTCGTCTTGACCCGCCAGCCACACGGGCGAACACCATCCCATCGGCCTTCTCGCCCAAGATGGCCTCCAGATGTCATTCAAGACGGCAGATATGGTCCAAGATAGCCTGCACGACGGTTAATATGGCCCTTGATGCCCTCCAAGACTGCTAAGATGGCACCGAGGTGGTCCAAGAGAAATTCATTATGGCCCAAGAGGCCCCCAAAAAGCCCACCCGACGCACAAAGGAGGGCTACAAGAGGACCTCATGGGGCCAAAATCACAAGGGCGCGCCGATGGATCCCCAGAGGGGGGAGGGTGTTGGACCCCCCCCCCTCCCCCCCCTTTCCCCGATCCGTCGTCGGAACCGCCCCTCCCTTTCCCGATCCGTCGTCGGAGACCCCCCCCCACCCCCTCCCCCCTCCCGAAAAGTGGGGGGGGGTCCGACCCCCCCCTCCCCCCTTTTGGCCGCTAAAATCGACCCCCCCTCCCCCCCTTTCGCCACGGCCCCTCCTAGCTCCGGAACTCGACCCCTACCAACCCTAACACTAATCCTCACCTTGACCCTAACCCTTAACCCCAACCCCAAACCCTAACCCTAGCCCCAAACAGTATCCCGAACCCTAGCACCAAACAGTACCCTAGACCCAAACACTACTCACTACGCACTATTCAGTACCCACTACCCACTACTCGCTATTCACTACTCTGTTTTCACTACACACGACTTACTCACTACTGACGACTCACAACTCAATGCCCAATACCCACTAACCACTACCCACTACTCACTACTCCCTACTCACTGCTCCCTACAAGCTAATCACTACTCACTACCCACTACTCAAAACTCACTGCCTACTAAAGACAGCCCACTACCCACTACTCAGTAGATAACAAATTACTACTCACTACCCATTAACCACTATGCACTACTCACTGCTCACTGCGTACACTTCCCTACTGCCTACTCAGTGCCCACAACTCACAACTCACTATCTCGCTACCCAATACGCACTACTCACTACCCACTACCCACTACGCTCCCACTACTCACTACTCACTACCCACTACTGAAAACTCCCGACTCACTAAACAAACTTACTACCCACTACTCAATCATCACACATTACCACTCAATACCCACTAACCACTATCCACTACTCAGTACTCAATACTCACACTTCACTACTCACTACTCACTGCCCACAACCCACTACCCACGATTCGCTACTCGCTAATCCCTACAAAATACTCACTACTAACTACTCACTACTCGCTACTCTTTACACTTTACCCGCTACCCAATGAGCACTATTCACTACCCACTACTCAGGACGCTCCCACTACTCACTACCCACTACTCCCTACTCACTTCTCCCAACTGACTACTCACTACTCACTACCCAATAGTCAATATCCACTACTCACTAAATACTACTCACTGCCCACTATTCACTACTCACTAAGCACTACTCAGTACTCATTGAACACGATCCAATACTCACTATTGAGTACGCACA